CGGGGTATTTATAGTGTGAAAGTCATGAAGAATTAAAGAAGAAAATAATTGAAAGTTTGATTTTTAATCAGCCACATAAGACTCCCTTTAGTTAAGGGATTCAAATTCAAACGGGTATAAAACCAACTAAGGAAAGAAATTAATCAAACTCTTTGTGCAAAGCATGCAATTGAGGGTAAATACATAAAAGGTTATTTTAAGGACAAGGTTTTCTGAAAGTACACGGTTGTATAATTAAGGAAAGAGAATCAATTGACAGCCACGAAATCACAAGTCCAAATATTTGGTGTGAAGAAAAAGGTTTTACTCAAGAAAAATTAGTACAATCAATTAAAGCCCCCAAAAAGATTCTGATTCAATTACTACTTGAAATCCTTTTAAAGAAAGATTCAACACACATATAAAAGCACACAGACATGCCTAAACACGAAAAATTTTGCCATGACCTTGTAAAATCAGTAGAAAGAATCGAATGCGGAGATGGAGAGGCAAGTAGTAAAAAACAGGCTTAGTGGCTTCTTTTAGAAGCTCATAAGAAAGCACGCAAACAAGTAGAAAGATCAAAGCAAACAGAGTGAGGAAACTAGTTTCGAAGCGTAGTGAGGGAACAACTGACAGTAGAAGAAACAAGTAGAAGAAACATACATGCTTATAGAGGATGAAGAGCATGGTAAAAAAAACGGGAATCATAGCGTAGAAAACACAGTAGGAGAATATTCCAGGACGGAGTATAGAAAACACAGCAAAAGAACATTCAATCACGGAGTATGAAACTCAGTAGAAGAACACCTAAGAACATAATAGAGCAAGTATAAGAACATAGTGGAAAGCGAGTGAGAACATGATACAGGAATACAATAAGAGAAACAATACAAATAATAAAGAAAGCAAAAATCATAAAAACACTTGAATACTTTCCAGAAACCCTAAATCAGAAAAGATGGGTTTTGAAAGCAATTTTCAAAGGAAAACTTAGGGAAATCGTTAAAAAATTCACGCATAGCATAGATACATAACAGGTCTAAAAGGAATCGGAGAAAACCTCGAATAGTTAGGGTTTCGAAAGAACCTTAGAGTGAGAAAGGCTTTAAAAAGATTTGATCTAAGTCGGATAAAGTCAGAACCAGACTCAGGAGACTAGAATATGCCGGAGCAAGGTCGGAAATGGCCGGAAACCTTGAGTCGGGGAAGATCTGAGTGAAGACCCTCGAATTCTGTCCTAGATGCTTCGAGCATCAGGCTCACAGGAGCAGTAGGAGGTGAGTATGAGGTTTCCATGGCCTGAGGAGCCATGGATTCCGGTGGGAATCGAAGGGGATTAGGGTTAGTTTGGGTGGCGGCGGCTAGGGTTTGAACGGGGTTGCAGAGAGGATTGGAGAGGAAAGGGATTCAAGGGCGGCGGGTAAAGGGGAAATGATTTAGGGTTGAGGGTGTTGGTGGATTAAAAAAGGAAAGGATGCGTGTGAGCCGTTGATCTGTTAGATCAACGGCTGGGATTAAAAGAAAAGGCCTGGGCGGGTTATTTGAGTGGGTCAGGGGCGGGTAATTTTGGAATTGGGTCACGTTTGAATCAAAAATAGGGCTGGGAAATTGGGGGTTTTATATTGGCTAAAATTGAAATGGTAATGGGCTATATATTAAATAGCCGATTTCTCCCTTTTTAATTTAATTAAAATAGTTAACTGAATTAATTAATAATATATAAACGTTAATCTAAAAATACTGGGAATAATTTTATAATTGTAACGCTATTAATCGTAATATAGGCTATAATTGTAATTTTATGCAATTTAGCTTACAAAATATCAAATAAATTTATAAAAATATGCAAAAATCACCTTAATTATATTGTGGTGTAAATATGAGGATGAAAATAAATTACTCACCAAAATGATAGTTTTGGGAATAGTTATTGGATTTTGTACTGCTAAAACAAATAATAAAATGATTTTAAAAAAGCTTTAAAAATTGGAAAAAATATCAAAATTCTTGGGCATGCTTATATATGCATGTACATGCTATTTTGAGAATATTCTGAGTATAAAAATATGTAGGAAAAAATTGGGTATCAACAGTATGTGAAGTACCTAATTGAGTGAAGGTTTCAATGGATCACTAAGGAGCTACTTGAAACCCTATTTAGATACTGTACAGTTCTTTAAGCATTTTCAAAGAGCTGTTGATGGTAAGCGTGCTAATGAAAGTAAGTCAATTTTGACTTGACCCAACGAATATCTGTCTTGAAGGTTAAGCTTCCTTTATTGATCCATGCGAGAGAATTATATACTGCAACCATATTTGATTTGTCCGAAAAAAAGTGGAAAAAGTCATTACTTGTCTCTATAAATAGCTTTCATGATGAAGGAGAATTTCTTAAATACAATGTTAGCACGCATGGAAGTCGCCGGGAGCATGTAGTGGTAGTGAAGTGCTCAACAAAGGTAGTCTCTTGCAGTTGCAAATTGTTCGAATTTTTGGGTGTACATGCTCTAAAGATTCTGGACACCTTAAATATCAAGGATACGATTCCTGACCATTATATACTAAAAAGGTGGACAAAAGTTGTTACCAACTTGGTTGCAATGGAGATTAAAATGTTTACTCAGGGAAGTTATCCAAAAATTGAAGTTAGTACAAGGTATAGACATTGATGTCAAACTCTTGTCCAAATTGCAAGTGAAGCTTCAGAATCCAGAGAAGGATATGAGTTAGTTGCACAGTATTCCAACGAGATAATTGCAAAGTTGAAGGAAGTAAAAATAAAAAATGAATGTCATGAAATTCCATCAGTTCCAAGCAAAGTTCTCCATAATGAGACAATATTTGCTGATAATGCAAATGTGACAAAGGTGATTGGGTTAAAGAAGAAGCAACCAACTCGTTGCTCCAACACACAACCAAAGAGTTTTGTGGAAAATATCAGGAAAAAGAATATGATTCAATCGCCAGTATCTCCTCCATTGCAAACTGTCCAACATGTAAGTCACCTTGCAGGCCTCCAGCACCATGTCCGCCATTGTCTAATGCCACAGCGAATACGGTATGTCATAATAACAATATTTTATTCCTTGTGTGGTATTATGTAAAAGCTTATTTTTCTCTTTATATGATAGGGATTGGGAGAAAAAAATTCTTACCCATGGTATTTTTCACAATTGTCTCAGCTAACATCTCATGGAAGTCTATCTGATTCCTAAGAGTTAGTACTTTTTTTTTTTGCGATTTTATGTCCTTATTTTTACTAGTAATACTTTTCATATGAATTATTTTACTGCAGGATATTTCATTTCATGATTTAAACAAGTACTCTCAAGGTTGATCGTCAATATCATGAAAGAACGAAGGTTTGCAGTAAAACATTGTCACCACAAAGATGATTTTAGAGCTTCATTTATTCCAAAAAAAAAATTAGTGACTATTTTTTAGCGTTGGAGTATAGTTTGGAAATGCTTCCATATTGAAAAATATAATTCTCTGTTATGACAAACATTAAAATTGCATTAGAATTGAGATAATTCATGGTTCTGTTTATTAATTATTATGAACTTGGTATTTCTTATTTGTGAATAAGCAAGGGGATTGATGACTTTTGTGTTGGTGAATTTATCTTGCTGCGCTCTTTCACTACTAAAGCAGCTGATCTAGATTTCCTTGAAATTATCTCTTGCTTAATTATTGGTGGTCTGGTGTTCACCTAGAAAATCAAAGGAGATGCATAGCCTAGAAAATCAAAGAAGACGCATAGCTTGTCAACTTTGTTATTGTAGGAAAGAACTGCTCAAGTCTTCCCCCTTATACAAAACTCTATGGTTTTCCGTGTTTTGTGTTTTCCCAAAAGACAATGCTGAACAATGATTCTAACAATTGTTTTTTTCATGCATTCTCTCTCTAGACTAGGGCTATCGGCCCAAGTTATGTAAACCTACACCGACGGAGGCAGCCATGGCTAAAGGGCTAGGAAGATCGAAGAAACAAGCAATTGTAATAGTGGGAAGCTCAGTCAGTGCTAGGGTGATAGCGAAAACCCTAGAAAATGAAAGTGAATAACGAGTGATTACACCATTAGCAACTCAATTTCCACCTCTGTTTCCGTTAATTTCGGCAAGCAAAATGACCACCGGAGCTAGGAAATTGAACATAGGTGAGCCTCTGCAACTGCAATTGACAAGAATCGCTGAAGAACAGCAACCAACGCATCTCAAACAACCAGATCTGAGGAAAACTGAGCAGACATCAAAGGGCCAAGCTCTAGATAAAACTTGGCCTGGGCTATTCAATCGAAATCGAGCAGCAACTAACGGTATGTCACTTGATTAGATACCTCCAGAATTGGTTGATGGAAGTTTAATGGTCAAGCTTGATAAGGAAGAAACAAACAGGGAAGCTGATAAGTGGAAGGCTACTTTAGTAGTTTATGTGATAGGTGACACACCAGGATATAACTATATGGCACGATATGTGGCTCAAAATTGGAATATAGTAGCTGAACTTGAAGTGTATTATCACGATGACTGATTTGAATGAAGTACAATATGCAGGCCTATATAGCATCAACAACAAACCTATGATCTTGAAACAATGGATCCTAAGTTTGATTTTAACGTTGAATTCCTTACAGAGCTGCCTTTGTGGGTTAAATTTCCTAGCCTACCTATGAGTTGCTGGAGCCGAGATTCATTGAGCAAGATAGCTAGTGCAATTGGAGTACCAAAGTATGCAGATGAATGCACAGCAAAGCAAACCAGAATATCATTTGCTAGAATGCTTATAGAGGTCAATGTCACCAAGCCATTACCAGATGAAATAATTGTACTTGACAATCATTTATATTTGAATGGAAGCCAGATTATTGTGAAGAATGTCTAATGATAGGACATAATTGTACAAAACAGGAAATGAAAGATGTGAAGAATGAGGAACAAAGGAATAACAACATTCAAAAGAGGAAGCAAGGTCCTAAGAAAATGGTGCACCACCTGGGTACTAAAGGAGGATGAAAGAGATGCAGTTGAAGCTAATGGTGAGAAGAAGGAAACTCAATATGCAGCAACCAATCAAAAAGCTCAAAAGCCAATAGAGAGAGTGGATACAGAGGAATTAAGCTCACAATCTAAAGAGAAGCAGTTATTAAAAGGGAAAGCGCTAAAAGAAATTAACGGCCGACCTGTGAATCAATTGATTGAAGCAGCTATTCCAGTGAGACATGAACTTGAGATCCTGCAGTGTGAAGATGATGTGATGACAAAACTCCTACCTACTGATATAGGTGGAGGATTTATATGTCATCAATAATGACATGGTTAGTATGGAATATAAGGGGTATAAATAAGAGATATAAGCAGAAAGAATTAGCTAAGTATCTCAAAGAAAATAGAATTAAAGTAGCAGGATTAATGGAGACAAGGGTGAAGGACCATAGAGCACAAGCAGTCTATAATAAAATTGTCCCAGGCTGGGGATTGAGAATAATTACAATCATGCACAGAATGGCAAGATTTGGTTGATCTGGGACACAAATGCTTAGAAAATTGCAGTTCTGAAGAAGGAAACACAGATTATCCATTGTTTAGTGGTGAGCAGGAGTCAACAAATAGATTGTGAAATGACAATAGTGTATGGATACAATACAGTGGAGCAGAGGAGAGATTTATGGCAGCAATTGAACAGTTTGTCTCAAACAACAACAAAACCATGGATCATTTGGGGGATTTCAACTCTATCTTAAGTTCACAAGATAGATTGAAAGGAGCAACAGTCACTAGCTATGAGATAAAAGATTTCACAGAATGCATTCAACAATTGATGCTGAATGAATTGCTATAGAAAGGAGATTATTATACTTGGACAAACAAGCAACAAGGGGGTGACAGAATATGGAGCAGAATAGATAGAGCCTTTGGAAATGCTGAATGGATGTTAAAATATGGCCATTTGCTTAATGAATATAAACTTCCACATATATTAGACCATTTTCCTATGACGATAACCACTAATGTGAGGGAGCCAAGGATCAGAACAGCATTCAAATTTTTCAATGTATGGGCAACTCATGAGAATTTTCTCCACCTAGTGGAGGAAAACTGGAAATAAATATATCACTCGCACAAGATGAGGAATATCTGCATTAAATAGAAGGAATTAAGGAAGAAGCTAAAAAGATTGAATGAAACTGAATTCAAGGGTGTAGCAGCAAGAATTATTCAAGCAAGAGAAGATCTTCAAGAAATACAACTCAAGATAAGGCACCAATACTTAGATGAATTAGCAATGGAAGAAAAGAAAATTATCTGTCAACTTGAAAAGTAGTCTATGATTGAAGAAAGTGCATTGCAACAAACATCCAGGGCAAGGTGGATCAAACTTGGAGATGCCAATGCAAGTTACTTTTCAGTTGTTATAAAAGATAGAAAATAGAAGAAACAAATACTAGAGCTAGAGTCTCAAGAGAGAGGCAGACTAACAGAAGCAAGAGATATCAAGCAAGAGATAATACAGTTTTATAAGTCACTTATGGGGTCAGCTTTGCACAATGTGACAACAGCTAACAAGACAATCATGAGAAGGGGGAGTGCACTGAGTCATACTCAACAGCTCCAACTATGTGAATAAGTGACAGAAGAGGAGATTTATTCAAGCCTTCAGTCTATAGGAGATGACAAAGCTCCAAGTGTGGATGGATATAATGTTGTATTCTATAAAAGAGCTTGGCCAGTCATTAAAAATGAAATCATTGAAGTTGTGCAAGATTTCTTTATAACAGGCAAAATGCATAAAGGAATTAACTGTAGAGCAGTCACCCTGATACCAAAGGTATTCAATCCTGCTACAATCAAGGAGTATATGCCAATTTCCTGTTGCACTGTTCTATACAAGATAATAGCAAAGATTCTTGCAGGCAGAATAGAGAAGGTGATCGCATCCATTATCACTGAAACTCAATCAGGATTTATCCCAAGAAGGAAAGTAGCAGATAATGTGATTATGGCTCATGAGTTGGAGAAGACATATACAAGAAAACATATATCACCCAGATGTATGATTAAATTGATATTCAGAAGGCATATGACACAGTGGATTGGATATTTTAGGAACAAATGTTGACAGAATTGCATTTCCCTAAAAAATGTATCAGATGAGTGATGGAGTGTGTTACTACTGTTAACTACTACATAGTTATAAATGGAGAGTCAACCCCACCCTTTGATGCTACCAAAGGACTTTGTCAAGGAGATCCAACTTCTCCCTTCCTATTTGATATTGTTATGGAGTATTTGAGCATAAGTCTCAGCACCTTAAAGGAATAGAAGCAGTTTATGTATCATCCAAATTGTTCTAAGCTAAACATCACACATCTGTGCTTTGTAGACGATCTTCTCATGTTTGCTAAAGGTGAAAAAATATCAGTGGGGCTCTTACATGAAAAGTTTGGTATATTTACAAATTCTTCAGGGTTACAGGCTAATCAATCCAAGAGTGCTATCTATTATGGTGGGATTTCAGAAGAAAGCAAGCAGGAAATCCAACAAGCAATTGGATATAGGCAAGGTGAATTACCATTTTGGTATCTAGGAATTCCACTAGCTACTAGAAAACCGAAATTGGTAGAATGGCAACCTCTAATAACAAAAATCACAGCAAGAATTTTAATCATGGATAGCTAAGAAGTTATAATATTATAACGATCCGAACGGTCGTTTGAGCTTTGTACTTCGCTTGCCAGTTTTCGGGCATGACTAGCCCTGTGTGATGTATTATAACTTATTCAAATCGTCAGTTTTGGTTTTCAGGGTAATCGGAAGGGTTTTCGAAGGACAGTTCTCAGTTTGAAGCTTAAATTTGAAAGGTTTGACCAAGTTTTCACTTTTTAGCATATGATCTCGGATAGGAATTTTTATGATTTGGTTAGCTCCGTTGATGATTTGGGACTTAGGAGTGTGATCGGAATGTGTTTTGAAGGTTCGGAGTAGATTTAGGCTTGAATTGGCGAAATTGAAATTTTGGCGTTTTTCGGTTGATAGGTGAGATTTTGATATAGGGGTCGGAATTCCGTAAGTTGCAGTAGGTTAGTTGTGTCAAATGTGACGTGTGTGCAAAATTTCAGGTCATTCAGACGACGTTTGGTAGACTTTTTGATCAAAAGCGGAATTCGGAAGTTTTTGGAACCTTAGTCTTGAATCCGATGTGATTTGGTTGATTCGATGTTGTTTGAGGTGTTTTGAATATTGGTATAAGTGTGGATAGTGGTATACGACTTATTTGTGCTTTTGGTTAAGGTCCCGGGGCCTCGGGGTAATTTCGGATGGTTGACGGGAGGTTTTGAGTTGGGATATGCAGCTGAAGTGCTAAGTTCCTGTCATAACCGCACCTGCGGCTAGGGGAACGCAGGTGCGGGCCGGCAGAAGCGCATTTTGGGACGCAGATGCAGAAATGGGCAAGAGGCGCCGGAACTGCAGATGCGGAAGATTGAGCGCACCTGCGATAGCGCAAGTGCGGGAGTGTGATCGCAGGTGCGGTTTGCGGTGCTTGAGTTATTTTGCGCAGAAGCGCACCTGGGACCGCAGGTTCGGGTCCGTAGGTGCGGTTTTGCTGGGTCAGAATATATAAATTTCACCTTCGCAATTTTGAGTGGATTTTCACCACATTTCAAATGGGAAGAAGCTTTGGAGAGCTAATTGAAGGGAGAATTCAAGAGGGCTTCTTAGAGGTAAGGTCCTTGGTCCCTAAACTCGTTTTTATGATGATTTTTGAGGTTGTAAGCTTGAAAATATGGGAAAAACAGTAGCAAATTGGAAGTTAGGGCTTGGAAATTGGAGACCTAAATCTAGGGATTTGAGGGGTCGTTTATGGTCGGATTTTGATGTATTTGATATGTATGAACTCTTGAGAGTGTAAGGATTCTAGTTTTGTGATTTGTATCGGATTCCGAGATGTGGGCCCGGGGGTCGGGTTTGGTCAATTTCGGGATTCTTGATGTAAATTGGTTATTTTCGAGTGGGCTTTGTTCCCTTAGCATATTTTGATGGTATGGTACTGTTTCTGGCTAGATTTGGAGCATCCGGAGGCCGAGTCGAGAGGCAAAGGCATCACGAGCTAGAGTTTGGACCAGATAGAGGTAAGTAATGATTGTAGATATTATCCTGAGGGTATGAAACCCCGGATTTCACATCGTTGTGCTACTTTAAGGTGACGCACACGCTAGATGACGAGCGTGGGGTCGTGTACCGTTGGGGATTGTGGCTTGGTTCATCCCGTACGACTGTTAAGTCGCATATTTTACTTGAAAACTATTTGATATTGTTATATTTTGGAAAATATTATTGTGTTTGGGGCTAAATGTCATGTCTGGGCCTTGTGCCGATTGTTTGGACCCTTAGGGGCTTTTACTACTATTTTTCCTCACTGTTTTGGTTTAATGTTTACACTCAGTCGTGTTATGTTCTTACTATTTTCATAACTCGGTTTTATTCACTCCTTTTGATTTCATAAATGATTTTGAGCCAAGTACCTGTTTTATTGTCAGCTTGAGGGGCTTGAGTGAGATCTAACTGAGTGAGGCCAAGGGCCTGTGTTGTGAGGATATCATGGGATCGGGCTGCGCGCCGCAGCATGTGGTACTGACTTGTGATTGATGAGAGGCCGAGGGCCTCATTTATTATGCCACGAGGTGGCTTTTGATTTATATGAGGCCGAGAGCCTGTTTGATTATGCCACGAGATGGCTTGTTATTGTGCTTGGGCCCTAAGGGGCCCCTCCCGGAGTTTGTACACCCCCAGTGAGCGCGGGTACCCAGTGTGAGTGATGTGATGTAGCCCGAGGGGCTGTTGTTGTTTCATGTTATTACCCGAGGGGCTGATACGAGTGATTATGAGATAGCCCGAGGGGCTGGTTCTGTTGATATTGTGCCTGAGGGGCGGTTCATGGTACATGTTTTGCCCGAGGGGCTGTTTACGTTTCTATCATTTTTACTCACTATTTTTATCACTCGTTTAAAACCATTGGAAGATGTTTTAAAAAGGAAAGGGTTTTTACTTAAACTGAGTTTGATTTACGAAATAAATGATTTCTGTACTGTTTTGGAAATGTACTGTATTTGCTGTAGCGTTATGACGTGGCTTACGTGTTTTCTTACTGCTCAGATTTCATTTACTTTTATTACTTACTGAGTTGGCGTACTCACATTACTCCCTGCACCTTGTATGCAGATTCAAGTATTTCTGAACCCGGTAGCGAGTGTTGATTGCTCAGTAGCAGAGTCATCGGAGTTAGCAAGGTAGCTGCCCGGCGTTCGCAGCACTGCTTTTCTCCCTTGTCTTCCTTAGACTGTATTTAGTACATTTTTAGACTCTTAGTTGTATTCAGACCTTAGTAGATGCTCGTGACTTGTGACACCCCGATGTTGGGCTGGTGTATTTATTCCACACTGTTCATTTAGACTTACATTATGAGATATATGATTAATTAAAGGCTTAAAAATGGTTGTTATTGATTAAAGGGTTAAATTCGGGAGTTGTGTCTGCTGGCCTAGTTTCACGATAGGCGCCATCACGACCGGGTCGATTTTAGGGTCGTGACAAGTTGGTATCAGAGCCTAGGTTACATAGGTCTCACAAGTCATGAGCAGGTTTAGTAGAGTCTCGCGGATCGGTATGGAGACGTCTGTACTTATCCTCGGGAGGCTGCAGAACCTTTAGGAAATTTCACCTTCTTGAATTCTTATCGTGCGTCCTTGATTCAGCTTGAAATGTAACTCTTTGAATTCCTTCCACGCATTCGTATGCGCGCATGAGCGCTCAGTACCAGATGTGCATCAATGGCTTGTGATTCCCTGATCGAGGGGCGAGATGTGATCTCTGTGTGTTGATGTTGGGCCAGTCGAGAAGACTTGAGGCCGGATTTTGCCTATAGCTTGAGCCCTAAGCTGTTGATCGCGCGAGCGCGTGTTTCTGGATCTATATGTTCTGTTGTGTCCCTATTAAGGGAAGTGATGATGGGATAGCTACGTGATGAGGGTGATGTGACTGCGAGATGTGTTCATATGAATTGAACGAGACGAGAAGGGTCTGCTTTGCGGCAGCAAGAACTATTTGGTATTTGATTTCCATCGTGATTTGACGTATAGCCCCGAGTTGTGGGTGTTACGAAGGATCTTTTCATGTTGCCTAGTTAGGAAGTGAAGTAGATTTCACGTTGTGATATGAGTTCAGACTCAGGAAGATTAAAGGACTGCGTAATGTTTATGATGGTGGAAGGGTATAAAGAGATGTTAGTTTGAGGCGAAGCAAGTGGGTCATCTCCTGCGGAGTTTTCTGATATTTATGTGATCCTTATGTTGTTGTTGGAAGATCTCCTTTACCAGTGAAGTATATGTGTTGCAATTTAAATTTGGGTCGCCTAGAGTGGACTTGACTGTTACGAGGGTGAATGCGAGATTTGTGAAAGATTTGAAGTACTAGATGGGCTGTGTTGCACGAGCTTATGAAGGATTGAGTTTAATCTCACTATGGTATTATGGCAGTAATAGAGTACATTCATTATGAGTCATTGTTTGTTTTGATCTATGGCTTCGAGCCAAGTGGGGGAGTCTGCTATTGATTAGTTGATTGCGCGGTTATGTGCTATGATGGTTCCAGTTTGAGGCATATCGGTGAATCAGCTGTGGCTTACGGAGGTTGAGATCGAGGATGGCTCTAGTAAAGGAAATTTCAATAGAGGTTATGGTATGCTTTATGGGTGTATAAAAATCATGGAATGACTTGAGTTGTTATCTGTAAAGGATGTGTGGTGCATAGATCATGAAGTTTCTTGGTTGCATTAAGGTGAGGTTACACTCTGTGGTGTTGGAGTGCTATTGGAGCACAGGTCGTCCGGTCCATTTGATCGGTCTAATTGCGGTTTGAGTAGAGTGGATGACTCTCGAGAATGGTTCAAATAGGTTCAAGATTTTACATGGAATAATTGGAGATTTTCAAGTTGTATATTTGGCTAGAAACTGAGGTTTGCCTTGGAGGGTGTCAAGACTCGTAGTATTTCTATATCATTATGGGATTCTATATATCAGTATTATGAAGGTAAAGGTAATGGCCTTGGATTCGCAGGAAGTCCCTTCAGGGTGGGTATTTTTAATGTGGTGCTTTTGGGAATGGTTAAGAGAGTATTCAGCGGCTTATGAGCCTTAGACGGTGTGGTTTTATGCTTAGGTCTCATATGGTGAGTCTGGTTTAAGGAATTGTGGTGTTATAGCAAGAAGGAGTATCAAGTTGAAGATAAATCAGAAGGAAACTTGGATAGATGGGATAGCTTGGTAGTAGGCTGGATCGGCATGGTAAGGATATGATTAGTTCTTTGGGTTCTTACGAGGTAATGAGTTTCTACAGGTGTTTCGCGGCAATGCTCTTGGGTTTTAGTGGCCTGCGTAGCTTGGTTGAGTTAGAAGGATTCAGTCTTGACGGTTTAGTTTTGTGCAAATGGAATTCGGAGAGTTCTTGATGGTTTCTACCACGGTTAGAGATGTATATTTGCTACGAGCGTGAGGAGCATGGGATGTGTAGTGATTTTCTTCTA